TGAAGATCATGACCCGTAACATAGACCGCGAACTCAAGCTGAAGATCGCGACCGCGAATTGGAAGGCTCAGGGCTCGAACTTCGCGAGGAAGGAGCCAGTGAGAAACAAAGAGTTTCCCCACTCGAATTACGGCCACAACATTATTTGACCACGAGGAAGATTGCGAACTCGAAGTCAGCCCTCGATCTCCTCATTTCCAAAGGCCAGGACGCCGGCATTTCAAGTTCGCGGCCTCACTTTTGAATATCACGACCGCGATCTATGTGCTTTTGGCCGCGAACTTCTCCGTCCTCATATTGCCTACAAATAGAAGACCCCTTTCCCCTTTTAGATAAGTTGACTTTGAGAGAAATTTATGGTTTTAGAGAGAGAGAGAGAGAGAGAGAGAGAGAGAGAGAGAGAGATAAGTTGAAGGAAGGAGAAGGAAGGAGCTAGAAGAGAGAGAGAGCATCTTCCTCAACCCAAGTCTTCTTCAATTTCTTCTATGTTTCTTCTTTCCTCCTTTATGGAGTAGTCCTCTAAGGTACTAGAGGTTCTAAACCCCAAACCCTATTTTTAGGATTTATTATGTATGTATGAATATTTACAGTTTGAATTAATGAATGCATTTATCTAGTTGATTTTATTGATATTTTGTCAATGATTGTGTTTGGGTAAGTTTCCCTAATCTTCTCTATTAGCATACTTTATGCTTCTATGCTGGGTATGGAGTTCTAGGTTTAGACGAGTATGTGCAATCAAGCAAATCGAAATAGATGTATGATTAGGGACCTATGGTGGTCGAGGCGACCGAACCCGTGCCGTAGGTTAGCCTTCCTAGACAAAACCCGGGATGAAACCTCTGTGTGGACGGTGGATGGTATCCATTGAAAGGAGCTACGATCTTAATTCCCCAAATACAATACCCTAGATCGATGTGATTTTATATGGGTTTAGGGGAGGCATACTCGGAGGTGTATGGATAACCACGAAAGCCCACGGAAAAGAGCTCACTCACAACATTCGATAACCCTAAGTATTTATGCATGCATAGTAACCCTAAGCTAGGGGGAGGATTAGTTCCTCGAAGTACCTGCTTTTAGCTTTGATCAATATCTAGTCTAGTTATCTCCTCAAGTCCTCCACTCAAACCTCCAAAACCGATTAAATAATTAGAAACAAGGTGGGAAGTAGGCTACGGTACCGGGACCCGAGTAAAATACGACCTTGAATACCACTATACGACAGTGCCATCTTAGATTAGTCTGCCACGCCCATCAACCAAACCGATATCAATCTCCCTACCTGTAGAAATCACAGGCCTGTAATAGATGTCCAATAAGGTATCACGAACAAGGTTGTGCCGATGCTTCATGCCCACAGAACCAGCACATGATACAACATGATCCCCAAAGATATGACTAGGAAAGACACGGGAACAAGCAGGACAGGGCTTAGATAACGAAAACAATGTGACACCCAGTCGATAACTAAGCACACTACGATATGTAATCCCATTCATAGTCTGGCCCAACTCAGCAAGAGGAACAATGCAAAACCAATCAAAAGAGTGCGCGCTCTGCTAAGACTTCCACAAAGCCACCTGACGCGTAGTCAACAAGAAAACATAAATTGAAGTAGTGACAAACTTCATGAAATATATGCCTGCAAATTTCTTCATAAGTTTTGGGTCCACTAGGGTCAAGTAAGATATCAGAATCTGTAAACTCAACATAGGGAATCACCAAAAGCAGGGTCAGGATATAGAATACCAAAAGAACTTAGGAGTTTAGCTTGCAACGTTGCAGAATGCAAACAAGATGCCAAAAAAGCATAATGCAAGACTTCTTCAGCAGCATAAACCCCAAACCCGCAGAAATGAAAAGGGAAGATGGCAAGCCGCCACTGCAAATCACTGAATTTAGGCCCAGAAGTAGTGCCAATACGTTCTAAACTAGATCGACGAGCTGTGTCAAAAGATAGCTTGGCCGGCTGAAAAACACAAGGGGAGCAAGTACGCAAAGCAAAGTAGAGTTTACAAATACTAGTACAAGCCCGAAGCAATAGCAACTCACACTGTGGGTCATCAATTCTCGCAACAAATTCTATAAGCTCAATAGTCCTAGTAACTCTCTTCGCCACAAGATCACTGCTAAAATCAGGACAAAAACTGCCTGGACCACCCATAACGGTGACACCATGTGGAGGCCGAGCAATACAGGCGACAAAAATACCCAGAAGCCGAATCTTAGGATCCTCAATAGGCCAAAAAAACTTACGTCTTACCCACATTTAGGTGAAGGCCAACTCGAGGGCCTTCATCCATAATCATTTCCAAGACCTTCCCAAAAACTAAAGTGTCACCCACAATAGTGCCATCATCCAAATATCAAGCCTGCATACTCAGATCAAAAGAGTCTCTGATCTTGCACACTAAAGGATGCAACACCAAAGCAAAAATCAAAGGGCTCAAAGGGTCTCCCTGTTGAACTCTCCGGCAAGACCATAAGCTATGCTCCCCACAATACAGTCGGGCAGGGTGAAGTAGCGGAACTCTACCCATCAAGATAAAACCGGACAATGATTGCGAAATTCCTAAAGCATTGCCCCACGATCAACTAAATTGAAAGAATTCTTGAAATCGACCAGCAGCATAGAAAGACCTATGTCACCCCACGTAGGGGTGGGAAATGGGATGGGATTGGGTAGTGACACGCTAAAACACAACACCTAACAATGGCCAAGTGTAACCAATGAAAGGGACTGTAGTATAGTGGCACAAGTAATAACTATTGAATCCACGGGTCTCTAGAGTTACTATTACTCAGCTTCAGTTCATTATCTAGCAAATTAGATTAAGGATTGATTTATAAACTACTCTACTGACTACTCTACTAATTACAAGTTGGGAACTCACTTAGGTATGATTCCCCCTAGCTCCTCAATTAGGTCCAAGTTGCAATTACTTTTGGTTGGTCTACTGTTGATTAAACTGCGGAAGATCCTAAATTAGCTTGGAATCTCTTAAGATGACCAAGCCCTCTTAGACAGAATACCCGGCAGGCGACTAGCCTTCACCAGGGTAGACTGCTAAGGCGATTCACACAGATCTCCACTACTGGAATGAATTCCAGTACAAAGCAGTGAATTGATTGACTCTCGCACAACCAATTCACCACTATCAATCAAGGAAGCTCTCTTAACCTAATCAGATTCTATCTATCATAGGTTAAAGCAGAAATCAAGAGAAGATGATCAAGCTTCAATTGACTCTATAAATCATGCCTCAATCGATAACAATATAGCATCCAAACCTTCATACAAGAAAGATCCTAACACATGGAACTAGGGTTCCTCAAAACCTAAGTGAAGGGAAGTTACTCCATAGAGAAGAGAGAGACTGCAGAAATCTGATCTAGATCTTCAATCTCCATCTCCAAGCTTGATTCCCGAGCTCCAATGGCGAAGAAATCCTCCAAAATAGCTCCAAGAATGTTCCCAAGTTGCTCTCTCTCTCTCTCTAGGGTTCGTCCCTTGGGTGTTTGGGAACCAAAACCCAGCTCTCCCCTTTCCTTTTGCTGAAAATCGAGTTTTAAACAGAAATTCCCGATCACGCGGCCAGGCCACACGGCCGTGTGGCTTTCCCAGCTGCCCGTGTAAAGGCTCGGTTATTTCCACACGGCCACGACCCACACGGCCGTGTGGAATTCCAGGATGCCCATGTGGCTTGCTCAGCCTCTGTTTAATGCTTTGTTTCTCCTTCGTCCGGACTCCGAATCAGTCCCCGTTTGATCCCAGACGCTCGTAGCCTCGTCCTCTTTCTTTTCATGACAAGCTTGCATGATTCTTTGTCCATAAAGTGAGGTAGAAATCCATTATTCTTCAGGTCATGCCCGAGTTTCTTCTCCCGAATCGTCAATTGATCTCTGATTGATTTGAAACTTGCGCCTATGCTTCACTTTATGTGCTAGGACCTGAAATGTGACAAAGGAACACAACCTAGCATAAAATAGGACAAAGACGCAATAATTCAAGCTCAAACAATCAAGAAACAAAGGGGAAAACAAGTGCAAATACCGAGTCATCAGGTAGCCGTCCCGTTTGAAACGGGTACCCAATCCCATTTGGAAACCAAAGTTCATCCCATATCCCAAACCCGTACGGGTACCCGTTAACCCGTACGGGATGGATAACGGGTACCCAAACTACCCGTTCAATATGGGAACAATTACAAAATCACATGGAACAAAATATTAAAATTACACTTCAAATAAACTGGCCCTTAAGCTGCGTCCCATTCCTATAAGTTCAAGCAATCAAGCTGTTGTCCCCTACTCCCCTTAAGAACCCACTGCCAACATGAAAAGAAAGCTACTGTCCACTTAAGAACAACATGAAAATGAAAGCTATTGTCCCCTTCAAAACCCACTATCAACATGATTACTTGAAAATGAAATTGCCACATTCATTCCAAGTTTCCAACCCACTACGGCCTCCCAAATTCATTCCAAGTTTCCAACCAACCAATGACCTGTGCACATGACATCTATATATTCCAACCAAATTCATTCCAAGTTTGGGTAATACGGGTACCCAAACGGGTATTAGCGGGTAACCCGCGAGTACCCGAAGTTGAGATTCTTAATCCCAAATTCCATCCCGCAACAAATATAACGGGTATTTGGGTACCCGTAACCCTCAAAAAATGGGACGGATTTGGGTATACCCAAATACTCGTTTCCCGTTGCCCACCCTTACCCCACGGGCCTCAACGAACCAGTTCAAGGCATGCAAAATAGCCTCTCCTCGAACAGAAACCCTGACCCCCAACTAAAGACCAGCAAAATAACCAGATAAAGAAATGCCAACAAGACAAGAACCAACCTTAGAGACTAGACGTCTCTAAAAAGTGCCAATAGCTATAGGATAAATACCTCCCCCTAGTTTAACAAGTGGCGTGAGTGGAGCGCTAGCAATGTACTCACCAGGGGATTGAGGATATCGAACCTCAAGGAAAAGATTAACGTTCCATAGTATTAGAGGCGATCAACTCATCCGAGATAGCAACCGCAGCACCACCCAAATAATCCATAAGATGTTGAGCCCGAAAACCATCCCTCCCGCAAGACGTACCATGAGGGAAGCTCCTAATCATATCCAAAACAACGAATGAAGAGCCAACAAGAGGATGATGATCCACAGGTAAAGTCGGTAAAAAGGGAGATGAGTCATGATGCTTATATTGTAGGGCCACAAGAGTGGCATCAGAATAAGGAGCAACATTGGATGAAGAAAGCACTCGAACAGCAGTAGTATAATGCCCATAAAAAATCTTCCTCCGACATTGCCGAAGGTTGAGCTCACCCAAAAAAAATTCCTCCTCTACAACAAATGAAGGGGGAAGCTCATCTAAAGTCTCTAACAAAAGTTGCCAACTTCCACCAGTCCCCCATCCAAGAATAGCACTGGTAACACTCTCCTCCCGACGAAGGCGCCTATCAACGGACATGCGCTCAATATTCAGCAGAAGTGGTCACAAGGAGAAACACACACATCATCCAATGTCCCTTTCAGAGACCACGCAAACCCAAGACGACACTTAGGAGGGATATATTTCACGGTGCGAAGACCCATAGAGAAAAAAACGATCAAGCAAAGAGACCCACAGGCTCAACCGTAGCATCAGATGAGAGAACCGACAAAGACGGAGCAGGAGGTCTGGGAATATCATAAATATTAAAACAAATAAGGTCGTCACCACAATCAGGAAGCTCTACAAAAACATTTTCATCATGCCGACATTTAGAACGGAACGCGTGAGTACGAAGGCATACCCCACAAATCCAAACCACCATCCGCTTTAGAGTCATTTCAGCATTAGAAAATACTGTCAAACTATCAGAAAGAGTTTGACGTGTAATCCCAATAGCTTCACCGCGACAATGCCAATCTTTAAAGTGTTGGAGCAAGGAGGATTTAGTAAGACCCTTACCTCGACCATCTTCACATCCATGGAGACCGACAAAAGGACAGTCATAACAAACAAGAGGCAGCATTGACGACACAATAAAGCCTAACGCACCCAGCATCAAGCGACGACCAAATATTTCCCCCGGCTGATGCGTCCAGATCCCTCCTTCCACTACATGCTAGCAATCAAGTGGTGGAGCTTATCAGGCGGCGAAAAAAAGGGAAATAATTTTTCTAAAACCTAAATACAATTTGCCGCCACTCTCTTCTCAATCAAAAGCAGCGAGCAGAAGGGAAAAGTACCCATCTTGCCTCCCCTCTCGGGTCCTGATTTGGGTCCAATTGTACACATTTTACCATTCATTTCTTGTCTGTTTTAGTTAGTAGATCACCAGCCCTCCGCCTACTTTATGCTAGGTTGTGCTTGTTATGTTACATTTCAGGTCCTAACACGTATGGGTAGGTCGAGGACGAGTTTCACGTCGATTGGAGGTCAAAAAGCGCGAAAAAGTGAAGAAAAGCGACAGTGATACAATTGCCCCAAAACCATGAAACGCGGAGGATCTAGAACTGTTGCACGTCTCATTGGAGTCCGGTCAGTTCGCGATTACGCGACCGTGAACTTCAACTCCAGACCGTGAAGAGCTGTAGTGAAACGACGCATTTCTGCCCGAGATCCCGGTCCAGGCTTTGAGTTCATGGCCGTGAACTGGGATCGTGAAACGATGTTGATCTGGGTATAAAAGACAGCAGCGGAAGGAAGAAAAGGGGAGCTGGGTTTTGGAGATGAATTAGTTTCTTTCTCTAAGGTTTCGACCCAAAACACCAAAGGGGAGTTCTAGAGAGAGGGAGTGTGTGAGTTCTTGAGGGATCTTGGAGGTTAATTGAAGGCGTTGATCAAGCTTGGAAGAAAGGAATCAAGCCTAGAAGAAGAAGATCTTAGGCTCCAATTTGTAATCTCTCTCTTCTCTCTCTAGAAACTCACCCTCTTCTCTTGGGTTTAAGAATCCTAGGTCTAGACTTTGTTTCATTATTGATGCATGTGACATATTTCATGTGTGATTGATGATTTTACTTAATTGACGGATTTTTTTATGGATTGCATGAGTTTGGTTTCCATTTTCATGTATTGAGCTTTTGACCTAAGAGGGAGAAAATCCCCTTAGAGCCCATTATTGGCATATTTGGGTCACTCCTCATCCTATATCGTTCGAGTAATCCTCAACGGAGTCGATCCCATCAATCTCCTGCGATCTAGGGTTGGCCTAGGTTGAATAGAGCACACCTCATTCATCGATTCGCCATTCCGGGTCATTCCCGAGGTATTCCATCTCCTAACGGTAGAGTAATTGAGACAATCGAGCTAGGAGTGTAAAACCCAACTACTTTTATCCATTTAAAACCATTAAAATATAAGGATCATCATTAACTATTTACCAAAATCCTCAATTTATGGGTTCATAACAAAATTTTGGGGAAAAAAACTCATCTTCAAATGTCCCGTAAAAATAAACATTGTGTAGAGTTCAGTCTTTCGCCCACCTCGTTGATATCAAACTCGAATTGCTTCATCCCATGGCCTTCACCCATTTTAGTTATTGATCTGGGAAAAATATTGACGGGGTGAGACGTCACTCAATGAGTAAATAATAATCTAATATAAATATTAATATGAAAATGATATCAGGCTATGTTGTGACTCGGAGTGTCTTCCGTCCATTTTACTCGATGTATATCTAATCACTTAATAACTTTACTTAGGTCTCACCTATGTAGACTCATATGAAATTTCTTCCCTTGTTCACTCGATCTATCACATATACATTATGGGTCATTCATATATGTCATATATTCTTCGTTTAAGGTTTCTCCTTTACTTTACCCTACCTGGTGTTGCATATGGTTTGTATTTATTCTTATATCCCATACATAATTTTCCTTCATATTTTTACACTTCTATCAACACGTACAACATCAAGGGATGTATTGTAGACACATAACATTATACACATCGACATCTCATGGCACTACCATAATGAAATTAGTATATCATTACTACTTTTACTACTTATGTCACAGTTTCCTGATCAATCGTTGTACTACTCATCATAGGAGATCATCATAACATGTACCTCATATCACTTGATATGACATATAAAACACATCAACCTTCACATACCACATGTAAGGGTTCACATTCTATACCTCAAATATGGCAAATACTAATATTGCCATCTCAATCATATAGCACACAAATATGACAAATATCAAGATTGACATTCACATACTCATGTTGCATCCAAATCAACAATGAATCAGCATCCAATCACACACATACATATAGTTAGCTCAATTCAGTAGCTTTTACTATTTAATTTCCCAAGTCATGCATTCCCCGGGATCTCGTGAACTCATAATCTCGTAGGCACAAAGTGCCATCATAAACTCGTGAACTCGTGGGCACAAAGTGTCATATCTCATGAACTCATAAACTCATGGGGCACAGAGTACTATATCTCATAAACTCGTAGCCAGACCTGGCATTACTCCTTAAAGGAGTTCTCGTATAAATCTTTTATCTCTTAGGCTTGAAGCCTCTTTTCACTTATAATGATTGCATGACAGGGCGCCATTACGTTTGCTTTAGATGACCATGCATAATCTTATAGCTAGTTACAACTCACAACTCGATATATCACTTGTGAGATGCCAGGGCCATTTCATATCACATTCAATTGTATGGATCACATGCCATTCTATATCTCATCTCGTACCATTCACAATAGATAACCTTTCTTGCCATTCTTTTCACTTGACTACCTTGAATACCATTTCACATTTCATATACTCATCACATAATACAGTTTACACACACATAACATGTAATGACCTTTTGGTCATATCATCACATTATCATATAATTACCATGATACGATAACATCATCCAATCATAGGATCATTCCATCATTTCATCTCGTTCAATCATATAACCATGCCACATATTGACATTCAATCACAATTGGTTTAAGTCTTACTAAGCCATCATACACGTTGTACTCGGGCCGCTTCATGACCCGAATATCATAATCATATTAAGATAAACATTATGTTAGAATTTACTCACAGTTTTGTCGTTACTTTGCTATTCTCTTGCCTTTCGATGATTCCCCGACTTTCTCTTTACCTTTATTAAGTCATATGCAAATGTTTAACATTCGAGAGCAATTTATTGTCGAACAGCTTAATCAGAAAATACATAACTCATAAGCATAGAGACATACACTTCCTCGTCACACACCTCTTTTTCCTAATGAAGTCACAAATGACCATTAGATCTTTATTCATAATAGACCTTTTAAACCGCCAAGGGAGGGATGGTTTCAAGTGCAGACTGATAGCTATGTGATCACGTCGACTGGAAGGGTTGATGCGGGTGGATTGATCAGGGATCATCTCGCCTTCTGCAGAGCAACATTCATCTACAATCTTGACCTTGGTTCAATCACTGCTGTTGAGCTCAAAGGAGCTTCTGAGGGTCTCAAACTCGCTTGGGAGAGAGACTATCGAAAGATCAACTTGTTGCTGGATTCCACTACGGCGATTGACTTCATCAAGGGGAACTCCAACGACAACCATCGCCATGGCAACACTGCAAAACAGCTGAAGTACCTACTCAACCTTGACTGAGAATTTACCATTTCCCATATCTTTAGAGAAGCTAGCCATGCTACTGATTTTTTGGCTTGTAAAGGGCATGAGTGTAATTTTGGCACACATCTCTTCGATTTATGCGACCAAAGTCTTGGTCAATGACTACGCCACGATGTAATGGAGATAACCCAAGAACATCTTATTATTAATACGAGCTAGGCGCTAGTATGCCAATCTTTCTACCCAAAAAAAGAGAGGAGTCCAACAACTACTTATATTAAGTCGCTACAAAAGAATGCAACAAGTACACAGCGCTCATTAATAAGTGTACACTCTGTTGCAGTAGTCCCCTTCCTAGCCTAGAGCCAGAAATTTTTTGGCACAACAGTTCCAGAAGTATAACATTGAAAATGAACAAAGATAAAAACTAGTTTACATAACTGGACGGCACTGCAGCCACCGCCGCAGCAGCTCAGCAAAACGTCCTTCAGACGCATTGTTGTGGACCTCGCCCAGTCTGCCACAACCTTAAAACACAGTGTACATCAAAAGCGTAAAAAACACAAATGGCAGTGTTGGGCCAAAGACCCTCAAGATACTTGGATGCAGTCGAAATGGATGAGAAGGCTTTAACGCGCTTTGGTGCCCGCTGCAGAAATCTGGCCATCATGTAGATGAGCCTCGACCGGTGTAGTTCGAGTGAAACGATGCTCTATGATGTGTACTCGAAAGGCTGAGGGGGTTGAGGTTCGTCGTCGACAGCCATTGCTTGCTGTCCTCCGGCACCCAAACCAGCAGCAGCAGCAGCACGAGTAGCATTAGTGGATGAAGGAGCATCGGTCAGGGAAAGCACTTCAGGTTCAGTTGGTTTCAAGTCTCTGAGAAGGA